CAACCTGGTGTGCATGGGAACCCTCCTAAGCGCCCAGAACCGCCAAAGGCAAAAAAGGGAGTACAGAGTTGGCAAGAAACATGCAAAATAGTTTGGCTGACAAGGCAAAATCACTATTTTTTTTTTTTTTTAACTTTTTCTGTGTTGTTTTTAGTTTTTATTTAACTTTATCTGTGTTATTTTCGATGGTTTATTAGGATGTTGCTTTATTACAGGTAGCAATTCGTCAAAAAAGTAGGGTAAATAAGGCAAAATTTAGCCAAACATCGAAAGTACAAGACTCAAACAAATTTTCTTCATAGGAAGTTGTATTTAAATTTGGACGATTTGAATTTTGCGAGGTTTTTACAGTCTAAATAGGCATCCAAATACAAGGGCCTACTGTATACATCTTTATGTAGAGGTCATTTGCATTTATTTAAATTTTAATGCTTTGTTCTGTTAATGGATCCACTTCAGAAAACATGTTCATTGCTTGCTCCATATAATATCCACAGACCTCTCACCTTTTTCATATCGTTTTAACACCTCTAGTTTCTCGGCTAAGCTTTTGAAACAACACTACCATCACTTGCTCTCTTGCTCATGTTGAATAGGGATGCAAAATTCTGTAAGAAACCCGAGAAAGTTTTTCTCCAGTTCCTGTTCCAGATGCGAGAAAACAAAAGGCCCGCCAAGCTCTGACTGTTGTTTGCCACTCATTAGCAAGGCAGCTTCCTTGCACAAGGCCCTCTTCATTTTTTTTACAGTATTTTTTTAATTTTTTTAGAATACATATCGGAATTGTTATTATTTATATGAAAATGTAATTTTATTTTATTTTTATTATATTTTGGTCGTAAATACGAATGAAATAAGGACGTAAATTGAATTGGGTCCTAAATTAACTCAGGTTTTAAATATGAAAAGTTGTTGGTCGAACCGTTGTTATCGGAGGCTTTACTGTACATCCTTCTTTCCTCACACAGCCAAACTGTAGAATATTCTGCCTTCTTCTGTATTTCCATACTCATACAATCCATCTCACTTAATAATGCTGGTTTTCCGGCATCTTTGTGGTGTAGATTAATATAATAATTTGATTTTATATTTTTAATTTCTTTTTACTCCTATTTTTTCGCCCCCCACCCCCTCCCCCCAGGCCCGGTTGTGGGTGGGCACAGGATAATAGTTTTACTGCATTGAAGACAGTACTTACCAATGCACCAGTTTTGGCATTTTCTTTCTTGACTACACTCAACCATTTACATTGTGTACCAATGCCTCAGGACAAGGGCTAGGGGCTGTTATCATGCAGCTGGACACACGAGAAAAACATAGTGAATGCTTATACTAGCCAAAAATTTAATGACACTGAAACACACTATTCAGTAATGCATCTGGAACCATTTGCTGTTATCTGGTCTCTAAACAATTCAGAGACTTGATCATTGGCTTCGACATAATCGCCCATAAAGATAATGTAGCTGCGACGGAGTTGTTCCATGGCAAAAACTTTCCATGCAGAATTGCACATTGGGTCGAGCAAACATGGTCACCGATAGCTCCAGTTACATCTGTATCTTCATTCACTTTACAGCAATTACAGAATGAACACTGACTAGATCCCTTGTGGTCTACAGTCATTTATGCTCTACAGTTGGGGGAGGAGGCTCATCTACCTAAGTTGCCTCTTCCATTCAGTCAATTTGAACTACTGTATAGCAAGACATACTCCACTGCTGCAGGAAGAATGCACAGGATACTGTTACACAAATTGTTGAACCTGACACTCTACGAATGGTGGTACTAACTCTTTACCACAATGTTCCTCAAGCAGGCAATCCCAAGTATGACAAATGGCTTGCAGAAGTTAGAAAATTTTACTATTGGAATACAATGAAGAAAGACGTCGAGTAGGCAGCTATCAAACAGGGAGGTACTACCGCCAGAGAAGATATTGAAATCATAATGTGTTGTCTAATGGTAGACCCTGCTGCCATATGGCATCACAAAAATTGTGACCAAGTCCCAGGTTGCTGATCTGACTTTCTGCCTCATTTACACACATTTGCAGGGTTTCAAGTGTTTCTCTTACTTTGACAACACAACATACATATATTGTTTCTCACAATTGATTTTTTTTTTATTTATGGTTCTTTATTATTATTATTATATTCATGTTTAATATTTTTATATTTATTATTTATTATTATTATTATTATATTTTTGCCCCCAGGCCCTGATGTGGGTCAGTGACCTGTGGCCGGGTGGGCTAATCGCCGTAAAAAACAAAACAAAACAAAGCTAAATGTTTATTGTGTGCTCAACACAAGGGCACCACTATTCACCCTGCTCCAATACTTGAATACCCAACACTGGAATGTCTGTTCGACACAGTCGCGATTGACTTGTTGCAACTTCTGAGGATGAGCGACCAAGGTTCACAGACAATGAATCAGAGTTTAAGAATCAACTTTTAGCACAGAGTTTCCAACATAGCTTCACCAAAGCTTCTCATGTACAGGCAAATGCCATTGTTGAAAAAAACTAATCATAAAATCATTGAGATTCTTCAACATATCGTGAATCTAATGCACATAACATGGGAGGATTGGTTACATGAAGTAGCAGCCTCGATTAATGGGTCAATTAATGGCTCCTCGGGCCAATCACCCTATTATATTGGTTATGACACAAACAAACGTTTGCCTTATGGCATATTTACAGGATCTCCTCAACCTACATGTAACATGAACAATTATGCTAAAAAGCATATGTATATGGCAAGGTACAGGACACTTGGCAGTCTCACGCTCTGAAATGATTTAAAGCAACAGAAACAAGCTGAGCCTACAATGCTGGATATAGGTAATGCTATCATGTTGAGAGAACTTAAACAGATCTCTAAACTTTTGCCCAAATTTTCAGGTCCATTCCTGATTACCACCAAGGAAATGGTCAACAAATTTTACAATTTTAAACCCAACACACAAATTACAGACATAGTACATGGAGACAGACAAAAAGGATACACCTGAACCTACTACCCACAGATGTAAATAATATCCCACACACACCTGTGCAGACTGCAGACACATCATATTCACCAGCTGTGTCTAATAATTATTGTTTGAAATTACGTTCAGCATGACAAATTTGAAACGAGGTCTATTGATGTCCAACTTGAAACAGTTCTGGGAACCCTTCACGACCTCAGACAACTTCTTAATATTTTTGCAATGGTTGAACAGACCACTGGTCTCCAAACCGTACACATCAAAACTCTCCATAAGAATATTGTCATCTAAGGACGCTCTGTTCCATCATCTCGTGAGTACATTTGTAAGAGGATGCATTCTTAGACACGGGAAAAGTGAAGATTGTTTCATTTTATTGGTCTCATTCAAAGTGCTTTGTTTGGCACGCTACTGCTAAGGACATAGCTAAATTAGGAGACCACATGAATACAGGTAACTCGCATTTTACGAGCGTTTGATTTAAGCGTTTTTGGAATAACGTGATTGTTCAATTAACACCAAAAGCTAATTTACGTGCACCTATTTTTTAAGTAACGTGCTCAAAACAGTTTAAATTTGCGGCGCATATTCGCCTGGTCGCCTGGCAGTGGAGACACGTGTGATGCCTGGTGAGGTGTTTGTAAGTTATTACTATAAAGTTGCAGTCATATCAACATCAACGATTTTAATATTATTATTAATAATAATAATAATTATTAAAATAATGTAATAATAAAGATTATTACTACTAATGATGAAGATAATGATGATAATGAAGTATTCTGTACAACAACTGTGACGACGTCCAGCAAGCTTCCCGCGTATCGCTTTCTCAGTTCACACCAGCACTACTTATTCTCTGTGGTCTCATTTGCATTGTATGTTTATCACATACATTTTTAGTGCTAAACGCTGTTTTCCCCGCTGAGCATGCCTGGAAAACGTCCATCTGCCTCCTCTGAGACACCTAAAGCTAAAAAGCCACGAAAAACAATCGCAATGGACGTGAAATTAAATGTGATCACACACCTTCAGAGAGGAGAGCATGGGTCAGAGGTTGGCCACATGCCTGGTTTAAGTGAGAGTACTGTTCGTACCATTCGAGACAATGCTGAGAAGATAAAGAACAGTGCTCAATCAGGGACATCTGCAAGTGCAAAAAAAAAATTCTTATGCTCGGAGTTCTATAATGGAGCACATGGAAAGGATGCTGAGTATGTGGATTGAAGATCAAAATCAGCACAACATACCAGTCAACATGTTCCTAGTCCAGACAAAAGCATGTGCAACCCATGAAGAGCTACAAAAGGATGAAAAAGGCCCAGTGAAACAATTCACTGCTAGTTCTGCTTGGTTCGCTAACTTCAGGCAAAGATACGGGTATCACAACATCAAGATAAGTGAAGAGGCTGCATCTGCCGATGCCGTGGCTGCTGAGGAATTCATCGGAACTCTGAAAGTAATATTGAGGAGGGAAGCTACTCTGCAAAGCAGATTTTCAATCTGGATGAAACTGCTCTGTTTTGGAGGAGAATGCCAGCACGAATGTATATCTCTCGCGAGGAAAAATCAGCACCAGGCTTCAAGGCTACTAAGGATCGTTATAACTTATTGTTTGGAGGTAATGCTGAAGGTGACTGCAAATTAAAACCAGTGATGGTGTACCACTCCACAAACCCATGTGCTCAGGGTTATTCTAAAATCTCTTGCCAGTTCACTACTTTTCAAATAACAAGGGGTGGATTACTGGTAGTCTTTCCTGTGACTACGTTGTGTCAAAGCTGAAAGATGAGGTACGTGAATATTGTGAACGTGAGAATCTTTCTTTTAAAATATTAATGTTAGTGGATAATGCCCCCGGACATCCACCTTCAATTCAAGATCTTTGTGAAAACATTCAAGTTGTCTATCTTCCACCAAATATGAGGCGTTTAGCGTAGGAGGGACGAATTATTTATAATATTTTTTGGTACAACAGGGTTGTCATTGTATTATGCACACCTTCTACACACAAAAATTATCAATATAGAACATAACTGAGGCAATTCTATCAATATTCCATGGCGCCGTGTGATTTTACAGTTCTAAAACTTTGACGTGCGTTTACTCAAAACTGATTTGGTGAGTTCGCCATTCCTACGCTAGACGCCTCATATGACATCCCTTATTCAGCTTACGGATCAAGGTGTGATTAGTACGTTTAAGGCTACTGATGATGGAAAAATGACTGTTAAAGAATTCTGGAAATCTTTTAACATTAGAGACTCTATAATGTTTGTTGGTGAGGCATGGGACAAAGTTAGTCATTCATGTATGAATGGAATTTGGAAAAACTCTGTCTGCATCTTGTGCATGACTTTAGAGGTTTTAGTGCTGAAAGTGATGTGTAAAACCAGAGAAAACATTGTGAGTTTGGCAAAGAAAGTAGGTCTTGGAGAGGTGGAGTTAGAAGACGTGCAAGAGTTATTAAACTCACATAAAGAAGAACTTTCGCCCCAAGATTTGCTTGACTTAGAAAAAGAGTGGGAAGAAGAGGAAGCAGGGAAGAAAGAGGAGCCTGAGGTCGTTCGAACTCTAACAGCAAAGCGGTTGACAGAGGCATTCATTTTAATTGAGTGTGGTTTGGCTATTATAGACGAAAACAATATAAATAGTGATCGTAGCTCAAAAGTGAGTAGAAATGTACTTTCAGCTATGCAGTGCTACAAAGAAATCCTGTGAGAAAAGAAAAAGAAAACCACCCAAAAGACATTGCTCTCATATTTCAAGAAATCTGACAGCAACGCACCTCAGTCATCAACATCTGGCATCTCCAGACCACAGCCTACCTCAACCACCGATTCGCCCGTACCCTTGCCTCCTCCTCAGTAGCCTCCCTCCTCAACCCTCCACTATGCCACCTTTGTCAAGCAGAAGTCGCCAGTCGTCAATGTTTAAGATATATTTACTATTGTTTTTCCTTTATTAACTATTTTTTTCTTTATGAATGATTAAGGTAAGAGAATATTTATTGTGAGTTACCCTGTACAGTATATGATGGTTCCCCTAACCTGTACCATTCACATGTATTCTTAGGGGAAATTATGTTTAATTTAAGTGTTTTTTAATTAAGCAGTGATTTTCAAAAACATAACCTCCGCAAAAAACGAGAGGTGGGTGTACAGTAACAGGCTGTACTTAAACAAAACCGTGCAATAACTCACCCCTATCACGTTATCCAGTCTTTAGAATCAAAGGTTAATTATATTATAAAGGAAAGTAACCATTTGTCTAGGGTAGTACAGTACATGATTTGGCAGTCAGTGCCCATACTAGAATGGCTAAAACTTTATTCTGAGTACTGTATCTGCATGCCACTGAAACTTCTGTTCAATCTTTAACTTCTGCCATTGACAAACCCACTGTTGATTTAGTTAAAACAAGTTTAGGATGTATGGATGCTCAGTTCTTGCCTGTATAAACTCTTCTTGAAGCTTTGCAAATAGCCAGGACAGAATATCAATTAACCCCTATTTTTAAAACACAGGAGATTGAATATTATTATCCTTTACTAGAAGCAACGCTAACACACGCTGCACTTTGAATTCACATTCCAATGCTATCTCATCTCAAGTTTGATGCACGACATCTGGAACCTTTCCCAATGAAATTTAATGGCACACTTTTGACACTGCATAAACAAATTGAACTTTTACTAGTGGCTGAGGACTACTTACTTTTAGCAGTGGAGGGCCCTAAGGTGCTACCACGGTGTAAATCGTCTCATTTACATTTATATGTATGTCCAGCCTACACATTCGCTTTTATTCCTGCTGCAGAGAGAATATGCGAACTAGCTGTCATACAAGCGAATGCTATCACAACATGCACACACTGTTCTTACACACTCAAATCTCCACAAAAGTGGTACAGTAAAACCTTGAAGCTATAGTAAAATTAATGTAAAAAAAATCCAATATGTATATTTTAAGTAATGTTATTTAATGTTAATATTCAGTCATGTGCCGGTTAACGTCCAACCGAACAACGTCCGATCGCATATACTGTACGTCCGTGGCCCATGAAAAAAAAAAAAAAAAAATGCTTTCGTGACGCCTGCTGGACCACCACTCCACGACCCCCTGACGGAGACACGATGATCCTCCCCATACTGGCCAGATATTATGTGTTAAAGGAATATCCTTCCTTCCTTAGGCTTTAGTAAGCCCTTTATAATATTATTTATACAGTCATCCCTTGGTTATAGCGCACTTGGCTATAGCGATTTTCGTTATCACGCGTCCATCAAAATCGGCACACCTGCCGTTATAGCACATTTTTCAGGCCGAGAATTTGGTTATCACGCATTTGCCTCCAGGTGTAATGTTAACCCACATCTATTGAGGATAAAATCTTTCACCTACAAATTGACAATAACACATTTGCTGTAATCAGACCTATAGAGTTGCCTCAACAATTGCAACCCCAGTTGCAATTGGGGTTGCAATTTCAAATTCTGTGTCATTACTAAGGAATAACGAAGTCTCTGGTGCACTCTAAGATTGAGAGAAAACGAAGGACTCAGGCGTCCTGAAACGAGAGAAAACGTACTCCTTTGATGGAGGACCCAAATAAAGAAAGACATAGCTACATGTTTTGTGGACTACAGTATTGAGCGTACCATTTTCATCACTTTGTAATAAACCTAGCCATGCCTATGTGTGTTTATGATATTTACCATAACTTTATATATATATATATTTAGTGGGTCTAAATGGTAGTACAGTGGGGTATGCTATAACGAATCTAATTGGTTCTAGGACCTTGTTCGTTATAGCATTCATTCGTTATAGGATTAATCCGTTCCAGGCCCCCAAATACAACCACTTAACACTGAAAAATATAATATAAAATTGTAAAAATTGTAAAAAAGTGCATAAATATGCTTCTAAACCCCTGAAATAAAGAATATCATTAATACTTGTAATAAAAAAACAATAAATAAGTAAAAAAAAAAAAATATATATATATATAATTAAATAATGTTCGTTCTAGGAGTTTCGTTCGTTATAGCATTCTCAATTTTATAGGTAAAACCGTTCGTTATAGGAATATTCGTAGTAGGCTCCGTTTGTTATAGCATACCCCACTGTAAAATGGGAAACTTGGGGTTGGGCCTTGGGTGCCTGGAACCAATTAGAATAAATCCTATAGGTTCTGTACTTTTGTTATCGCATTTTTCGTTATCACGCACTCGGCAGGGTCCCAATTAGGTGTGATAACCAAGGGATGACTGTACAGCTAGACCCCGACTTACGACTACGTGGACTTACGACCGTCGGGACTTACAACAGCCGCAGATTTTTTATTAATTTTTTTTTTTTTTCAAATGACACATGCATTTTCTATACCGAATCGTTTCCAGTTAATGTAGTCTCCATGTATAATTAGAAAATTATGGGGGCCCCATGTGCATTCAGCTGACTACATTAAAGGTAAGTGCTCAGTCACACTGTATCCATTCCTTATTATTTATTACTTTCACTGTACTGTATCCATTCCTCATTATTCATTACTTTTACTGTACTGTATTTCATTGTAGTTTTTTATCTATGTCGGACTTATGACCTGGATTTGGGTCCCTAAACCCGTCGTAAGTCGGGGTCTAGCTGTACTGTACTGTATATACTTGTGACACTTGCCAGTTGCTTCTGATGTCATTGTACAGGGGTACCTAGTGACAGCACTAGGATCCCGCTTCCTCTATCAAGGAATAAACAATTGAAATTGAAAAAAACATTCAAATAATGGGACGTAGCGAACGTAAGTGGCCCTAGAGCAGGCGCAGTCACGTTTGCATCACGTATGCATCGCGTATTCTTATAGATTGTGCTGCCAGGTGTATTATGTTATTTTATTAGCCTTCCTAACCTCTGTGTTTCATTAGTTGTGTACCTTATCTAGTGAATTTAGTCAATATTGTACAATACAAGTACACTGCAATACAGTGGTCCCTGGGTTAACAATGGACCTAAGTGCAAACCTGTACTGTACATGTACTAAATGATTACGGTACTAAAATTGTTATGTCTATTGCAAATACTGTATAGGTTGTTTATATTCAAATAAATCACTGTCTTACAAGAATCCCATCAATGTAAGTTATATTCACCCAGGTCATTTGGGTGGCAAATTATGAGAAGAGCTTAGTCACTCTTAAGGAATGATAAAATAAACACGCAGGCCTTCAGCGCCAACTGTCAAATCATATCGCCTCACCTCCCCCCACCCCCCCCCTCCTCGCTCTCCCCATCTGCCCAAGCCAGGGTTTTAGGGCTTAAGTTTATCATATAATAACTCGGACTATAGGAGAATATAATTTGCGTTGCTGAAATCCTTACAAGACAGCGATATATTTGAATATAAACGTCATATATTTTGCTGAAGAGATAAAAATTTTAGTACATTAGTGTACAGTACTGTAGTACATTTTATAATATAAAGTTTTTCAACTGTATTTTTGGGTAGATTTACATAAATTTCTTCATTTATTTTCATCCATTTACATGCACACACCATACTAAAAGAAACGTAAAAGAAATAAATGACCTTAGCTTAGTGCAAAGCTGGAGTGCACATGTACAAATATGATTACGGTACTAAAATTGTTATGTCTAGTGCAAATTATAGCATGATTATATTCAAATTAATCAGTATCTTACAAGAATCCCAGCAATGTAAATTATATTCACCCAGGTCATTTCACTGGCTTTTTATAAGAGAGAAGCTTAGTCACTTAAGAATTGATAAATAAACACACGTTAGACCTTGGGCCGGTGCCAACTGTCAAACGTAATACCTCACCTCCCGCTCCTCTCCCCCCCACGCTCGCTCTCTCCGTCCCTCTCCCCCATCTGCCCAGCATTGCTGGAATCTTTGTAAGACAGTGAATAATTTTAATACAAACGTAATGTATTTTGCACAAGAGAAAAAAATTAATCACCTGTATCACATTACAGTAGTGA